TCTCTGTACCTCTCCCCGGTGCCAGCCCCGTCAACGCGTTCAGCGCATTCGTACGTCTCCTCCTCCTCCCGTCGTAGCTGCCAGCTCGAAACCTGAATCCGGCTTCAGACCTCCGCCACATCCATTTCGTCCAGCACAGGCTCTGCAACATCCACAGTCTCCCCTCCGACCTCGGTCACCCAAACAGCGACTTCGGCCCTCTCTGACGCGGGCAACTTCTTACAGCGCATGAAGAGGCAGGATTCATCCGCGTCCCTGCCTCCGACGACGACGACAAGCGGCATAGGACTGCCGACGGTGACGGTAAGTAGCGGGGATGTGAACGCTGGGGCGGGGAATATCGATACTGAGATTGGGAATATCACCATCTTCGTGGGGAATGTGAACGTTTCGATTGGGGATGGTGAGTTTCGTCGGAAACCTGGGTTACTATCGACTAAGACTTTGCAGTGAATATCAAGAACGTGTCGATCGGGAATATATTTGTGTTGGTGCAGATTGGGCAGCCTGATGTGAGTGCTTCACCTCCTATATTCGTGGATTCTGGGGAATTGAGAATGAACAGCTCAACGGCGCACTGGGAAATCTGACGAATGCACTGGAGGGAACGAATCCGACCAGATAGCGATCATAAATCCCGCGTGAAGGGGTGTCGAGGGCGGCTTGAGGCCTCAGGAGTAAAATGGACGCGTGCCTGTAATTTCTTCTCGGTGGATCCACGCATTATACCTTCAGATCACGGGCAACTGATAAGCGATCATCCATCATCCATCACGTGATCAACGCTGAGGTAATCACACCATGCTTGCCTTGCACCCTCGCGGCGTTTCAAAGCCACAGAGCCGGGAGCGCGCTCCTGGCCGCCTGGCCGCCTGGCGTGGTCCGACCCTACTCCCTGTGGCTGCAGCCATCCTCGTGCTGGATGCTGCTGTGCCTCTGTGACGGTGTCTTGCTTCCGTCGGTCTTTTTCTGGTCGTTTCAAGTTGGGTTAGCAGGATGTGTGATAGACGGCCTATTTGGTGTAGTCATGCCCATGCCTTGCTCATACCGCTCCCTCATCGTACTCGATCTCCGCATCCAGCGATGGTGCCACCTGCCTTCGTCGCATGCCGGGGATGTAGAACGCCATTCTCCGGGAGTCCACCAGTGCACGGCTCCGAGAGGAAAAGCAACGCAGAGTCGGGGATGTTTGGGGAGACACTGATCATGATGCGGTTACCTGGGTTATAGAAGACCAAGGTGCGAGCGCTGTGCCCGTCAATGTCGTTCCCTGCTGACGGATGCAGGCCAAAAGAACAGGTCGCATCGGATACATGGGCGGTTTATACGTGCTCAAATGCGCCCATTCGGCGTGCGTGAGGTTTTCCTCGCCCTCATTCGGCGTGCGTGCGGTTTTCCTCGCCCTCATTCTGCATCTCGCGGGCCAAATCTTCCTGAATCCTCACGATATACCCCGTTCGATGCCGCCCACTTGCAAGAAATTCGTCAATGCGTCAGACAGGGGTGTTTCCGGCCAGATGAATTACATTTTACGTGCCTCCCATTCTCCTCGCCCCATGATTGACGGGATACATTCCAGCGCAGTAGATCGCCATACTATGTAGTCGCACGGACTCATACTTGATCGTGGTTCAAGCAGTTATTTCCCTGCGCCTTCGAGGCAACTTGAGCCAAGTCGATGGGCGTGTCGCAGTTGAATGAGGTCGTCATCCTCGCGCGCTGCGATAACGCGCTAATGCAAATCTCATTTCCGGAGCCAGTGGTCCCATAAGTGACGGCAGCCAGCAGCGGTCGTGTGATCTTTCTCCAATGAAAAGTCGCCGGATTTCGGCTTCCACAGCACCCCACCCGCGCACAGCACTAGACTCAGCATAAAACGGCGTTTTGAAGATTTCATTTCACTCTGAAGGTCATGCTCCCGTGGCGCCTGGGTACGTGCACGTCCCCGCCTTGAGATCCTGTCCGGGTTGACCGTTCGGAAAACAGACCATCTGGCGTCTTCTTCCCAGGAGGCAAGCACGCGGAAGAGGTACTTGTTCTTGCGATGTTTCTGCGCCGCCTCGTTGACTCCGGTGGGCAGGATTGGAATCGATATGTTTCACTTCACGCGCATAGTACCTGTTTAATCCCGCAGTGGACTGAGCATACGACTTGCGAATCATGATACAGGCACCTCAATATACTGCAAATCTTCGGTTTAACAACATCGCAGAATGTATACGCTGTTGTCGCCCTCGAGGGTCTGTCAGCCAGCTTTAGCAGCGCGATTCTGATTTCTCCTTCGCAGATTTGATTTCGCATGAGGAATTCCTGCAACTCCATCAGCCCTCTCCTGTCCTTACGGTGTATTATGTGTGCTGGGTATGCAGAGCCAAGTTCGCATACTAAAGAATACTAAACGCTGGTTCCAGAGCAGCGATAAACTCAGACGGCTAGCATCCAACCGCCTCGCCAAGGTCGTCGACGTCCCCATGTCTTCCGCTGAACCGAGTCCCTGTTCGATTCAGGCCTGAGCTGCAATGAGGAGAATGCTGGGTAATTTTGCTCTGTCGTCTCGCGCCTGCCGTGTAAGTATCTCTGGCCTGTTTGACTTCAGCCCGAATGCTTTGACTGTGTCGCTCAAGACTGGGCGCTGAGTGGAAGACAAAAAAGTACCAGCTGGTCTCCCTATGTTCTTCAGGGAATCGAACCCCGGTCAGCTGAGCGCGCTTCGTCCAGCGTCGGTCACTCACCCGCGAAGGTTTGGGGCTTCTAAACGGCTGGACGACACGGACCCGCACTCGGACCCGGATGATGGTGTCGGTGTACAAGGTCGGATTCACTCTGAAAGGATTCACTAGCTCACTTTTTGAATCGATATCTGTGCTAGTCAGGTTGGTGAGAGAGAGCAAAGAAAACGACCTTAGCCGTGCTTTCAGCTCCGATGATTCAAACAGTTTGAATCTCATGGAAGAGCCTCCCTGTTCGACTCGGGCCAGAGCTCTATAGTCTGGGTGTTTCTTTTTCATCGATGGGCACTTTATGCGAATTTCGGAATTGAGGGCTTGAGACAGGTGAACGTCCTCAGAGGACCCTTTGATGCGTGCCAATAACTGTGTCCGTGGCACTGGAACAAGATCACCAAAATCTCACGAACCACTCCCGAGAGAATGGAACCCCGGGGAGACGCGATCCACCGCTGGACACTCAAGTGAGTACCGGTACCGGTAGCAACAAAGCGCCAATGAGCAGCCTTCGTTGAGTTTCACACCATCTCCACATCGCAGGCCAATCACATTACATCCAAAAACGAGTGAGTACGTAGGTTTAGCATGAGTGGTAATATAATACAGAATAAGCAAGAAGCAAGATATCCAGTGTAGTCTAGATCCATCCATCCAAACGAGCGTGGGTCTCTGACAGCAGAACAGAGCGGATGACATACAATTTTTCGCAGTTTTCCTCACGGGTTCACCGCCGGGGCGACTCCCGCCCCTCCTTCTTCCCCGCCTCCAAATCCCTCTCTTCCCGCTCATCCGCGGGTCTACCGACCTCCTCCCAGTCGTCGATCGCCTCCGACGTGCCTTCCTCTTCGTCAGAAGCGGGGATGAGCCCGCGTCGGGAGGCCCAGCGCTGTCGGAGGACTGCGACGCCGCGCGAGAGTGAGAAGAGGATGATACCGCCAGCGGCAATGCCGATGACGTAGGCTGCGAGGAGGGCGCCTTGTTCTTGTGGGTCGAGGAAGGAGTAGACTGTGGAGAAGAGGGTGTGAGCGGGCGGGAGCATTGAGGGTGAAGGATAGGGATAAGGTTTGGATTTGCGTTTGGGGGGCGGATCGGGAATGGAAGGGAAGAGAAAAAAGAGAAGAGAAGACGTACCATAGAACCCTTGCGTGTGATGGGTAATGTATGCTACGCCGAGGTAGCAGGCGAGGAAGAGAATGTGGATGGGCAGAGCGAGCCACGGGGCTGGGGGAACGTTGGTGAAGAGGAGGTCGAAAAGAGCGAAGGGAGTGTTGAGCGCGTGGATGGAGATATTGGACCAAGCTGCGCCGTCATTATAACGAAACGAATGAGCGGATAGGAAACACACCAGAGAACGTCGTGCTGAAGGTATCCCCCGACGACAGCAGTGACCAGAACACGATGGTCGTGATGAACGCTGAAGAAAATCGATCAATGCGATAAACGGAGTCGTTCCGAGTGAACGGACGCACGGAAGCTGACTATGGTCGACTGTAAGACCACATGCCCCGCCTGCAGCGCCTGAGGCCACCTCCGAAGCGGGTATGAGCCATACCGCGCGTAGAAAAACGTCTGTACGGCAGCGGCCCAGTAGTACGCCGTCAGCCCGATGTAAGACAGCACCGTGAAGTAGCTCAGGAAGCTGTCGCCGGCGCCATAGTGCACGTTGAAGCCGAGGTCAGTGCAGATGGTGCAGAGGGCGTAGAGGGCGACGAGGAGCCGTAGGGCCGCGAGGGTGGCGGGTGAGACAAACGGGGAGGAGACGAACTTGAATGAAGGGTCGAAGGAGGAGGGGTGGACGCCAAAGTTGGACCAGGACAACAGGGCAAGCATCTGCTGAATCCTGCCTAGGGCGTCGTCGCGGGGCAGATATAGGAAGAAGCGGGAGGAACCAGAAGCAGAGCTCGCTAAATCAGGGATTTGATCACCATCACGCGATGCATCGCGTGTCTCAAACAGGCTGTCTCAGACGCTCTATGGTCCGTGTATTGTCCGCCACACGCCCATCCGGGTCTGTCATCCTACGCCATTCAAGCATTGTGGGCCCCTCTTCAAAAGAGGAGCTATTATCCAGTTTTACTTGCTTGACGACCGCTTAATCAAGTGGAGAAGTCGCCGTTGATGGCATGTGTCCGAACAGAGATCCGGGGTAGTTTTTTTTTCAGACCCTCGGCGCCGCTGCATTCCTAGCTCTTATTATTGGGATGAGCCACGGTCCTCTGCTTAAATACTGTGATGAATCCGATGGTGGACACCACATGTCATTCAATCATCGCAGCTTTGGTGGGGTAGTGGTAACCTGGGTCGTTGCCATGTGTGTCTCGTATAACTTTGTTTCGACCCGCCGGGGGTTCGATTCCCTCCCAAAGCATAAAGAAATTGCTGTGTGCATAATCCTTTTTCTGCCTTCTAGCCAATCAAACACGGAAGGAAAGCAAGTCAGAAATCCTGTGGATCCCGGGCTATCTGAATCACTACCTCGACGTAACTTGTTTAGCTACATTGTCACTTGAGAGTTGGAAGATGGGATCCACGACGGCAGTGGCTGACGGCTGAAACCCAAACAGCCTGAAACTGAACGCGGCACCCGTCAGTCGATTGCCAATCCACTGCAACCTTTTCATTTCCACAAGCTTGTCATTATAGGATACTGACAAACGTCGGAACCCCCAGTGCCCACGCCAACGCTGCCATGATTCAAGTTGTGGATTTCCTGATGGACTTCATGCCAGACTCCGGGCGACCATTCGGATCTCTGCTCTCGCTCAATGGCTCTACAAATTCGGGCATGTCGACGAGGATTTACCGATACGAAAACAAAAGAGGCAAGCAGCGTCCATGATCCAGATCATTCACCACAACTCGAGTCGAACGAGGAGAGGTGGAACACATTGATCAATGTATGGGTGTAGGTGGGTTGTTCCTGGCATGATGATCTTGGTCTCAACGTTGGGCAACGTCGTGCAAGATGGTCTCGACTCATTCGAATCCTGCCACGTCAAAACGGTCTTCGCACAGCCCACGACCAGGCCGCGAGTCGAAAGGAAGCTCTGGGCTGCACAGCAGGCACAGCTTCGATGTGTGTCCAATATTTCATTAGCGCGCTCTACGTTGAGGGTGTCTCGACATGCGTCTCCTCATTCCAATCAATGAGCCAAACGTCTTCGGAAATCACGCTGGGCTTCCGAGTCTCGATTTCCGCGGTTGACTCTTCCGTCGCGCTTTCCCTCGGAGCCTTGGACGGGAGCACCAGAAGATACTGATCTTCTACGAGTCAAATCTCAGACACGGTTGATTCGGGGCAGAGGAACCTCACCTTGGATCAATCCCCTCCGCTTACCCTCGATAAAATCGTCCACCATTCCCCACATGACATCCACGCCGCGCGTGTACGATCCCGCTGCCGTGAAAATATCCTGCAGCCCATCGAGCAGGAGCAACACGATCCTCGCATCTCTTGGCAAGTCTCGTCCCACGGCAGAGTCATCGTCTGCGGGCGAGTGAAATCGATTATAGGACTTGTCAAGTCGGTAATGAGGATGATTCGAGTAGGCGTCGTGGATTTGAGGAGTGGGAATATGGGTTTGGACTCGAGTTTGCCGACGAGGAGTAGGTTTTGGATGTGCGTACAGGCACCGAGTACCCTGCGCAGGTCGTGGTCAGACCAAACGTTTTGGGATCGTCCAGCGAAGAAGGTCCATTCAAATGAAATAATTTCGAGATTATGGACAGAGGGGGAGAACTCGGCCCTCTTGGTCATGACTTGTATGCGCTTGAGTAGGGCGCCGCTGGAGACACGCTTGTCACTGGCGAATATATGGAGCTCGATGGTCCGGTAGAGGAAGGGCTCGGTCCTGATACAGGGGTTGGATTCAGGCGGCTCGGAACTGGGCTATGGCGTACCATTCGAGCACCCGCTTTGCGACACGGAGTAACCTGGGAATGCTGCCGGGATGGCGAATGGCGGTGGTCTCGAAGATCAAGCACTCCAGTTCTGTAGGGAGGTTGAAGCGAGTTTCCGTATCTAGCATGGCTGAGGGAGAATCGAGAGCGGTCATAGAGAACTGCGGCGACGTGGAAGAACGGAGTCAAGGTAGTTTTGATGCGCATCATCCAGCACTGCCTAGCCGGAGCCGGCATCTCCTGCTTGTCGTTGTATAATCCCACTTGCTTTTTACGTTCACGCACACTTCAGTAAATGGACACCTCGGGCGACTCTCAGCCGCAGGACTCTGTCAAGCGCGTCCCAGATCTTTGGTTCCCCGACGCTGATCTCATTCTTCGAGCCCCCCGGCCTTCGAATCCTTCCTCGCAGTGCGCAGCAAAATTTCCGGACAAAATACAAGCTATCGGACACACCCGTGGAGGCCGACCTTGTCGTCCTGCGCGTTGTTTCGGAGGTCGGGGCATCGTCGCTCCTGCTCCCCGTTTTCTCCTGTGTCTGCGCTGCTGGTATCGAAACGCTCTTGGAGACGAAGGGGCAGACACGGGACGCCTGGATCACTCTGGACGCCCAGATGCAACGAAGCTGCATATTGGGTGCAGCCGATTGTATGAGGTACACGACGTTTATGCATGATTTTCTGGCTTCGCTGGAAGAAGAACCCCGCCGAGGGCTCTGTACGGCGTTTGTGCAGTGTGAGCAAACCATTCGCCAGGCGCGCAAGCATATTCGCCGGTGGACTATCGACGCGATGGACACGGATCCATTAGGTGGCTGGGTTTTTGAATTTATGGCGGCAGACATGCAGCTATGTGATGCCTGCAATGATTTCGGCCGGGCAGAATCTGTTCGCGAGCAAGAGGAGCTTTGGGAACGGTTGGGGGATAGACTCTCGCGTATTACATAAATAGCATTTTGAAGCGCTCAAACGTACCGATTCAATGGATTAACTGGTCACTCGGTCATCTCGTTGGCAAAGGGATGTAGCCCGGACATGTCCCTCTGTACATGTACGTCCTCCGACCTGAGGCGCTCTGCGCGTCTCAGCCGCCGATATTCGTATCTGCTTCCCGTACCACTACTCTCTAAACAGGCCCCGAAGCCACCGAACCACCTCGTCAACGAACAAGATTGCGGGTAACCCGGCCAAAATCGTCCCCGTGTGGAATTTCCGAACTGAGGAGGAAAATGAACTCCGATGCCGACTACCTCATGGAACCGATCCGGATCGAACGGACTTGTGGTCAGGTATCCACAAACATCTCCTTCTGGAGACCCAGCTCCCTCTGTGTCTGCGCGTTGCACCAATCCAATGGCGCACTCCGAGTCGAACGGAGCCCACCCCAGTGGGATGCGTGGGCTATGTGTTATAATCTTGCAGATTCAGAAGAACCTCGACTGGGAGGTACCACTGAGTGAGAAACTGTGGCCACATACAGCTTCGGCTTCAGCGTGTGCTTCCTTCTCGCTAACGCTGTTGATTGTCGTCAAATTCTGGGACCGAGCTCGAGAAAGATGGAGATACCGATTAGAAAGAGTGAAGGGCGGTAACAGAGGCACGGAAATGGAGGCAGGGCTACGAGCCAAGCAGGGATCCCGAATCGAACGGGAGCACTTGCATCTCAGTGCCGTCCAACATTCCGGTCGGGACGAGGTACTTGGTTTGGTTCGATTTCAAAGCGATGAGGGTATAAAAAAAGATGCATCGGATCGTTGATGGCGCACCTCCGAGTCGAACGGGGTCAAGCTCCCTCTGTCGAACACACGGGGATGAGTCGTAGGCGCTAGGCGCTCTACTTCTCCGCGAAGAACAATGCTGGATTGACCGAGAATTCCCCTCTGGAAGTCAGGGCCCCGAGTTTGGCGCGCCGCCGGTAAATAGAAGTCCGGTGTCGACATTCAGTATGACATTCTGCAAGCTGTATTGTTGAAACAAAAAAGGTCTGGAGTCCAAGATCTATTCGGCCCACTCCGAATCGAACGGAGCTCGAGAAAGATGAAGATAAAGAATCCACGTGGAATAAAAAATTGGGTGATTAAAAAAGTCCAAGTGCGGCAATGGAGACTGGCAAAAGTTGGGCAAAAGGGCAGCAGAGCGCCAAGCAAGGATTCTGAATCGAACGGTGGCAGTTGCATCCCATTGCCAACGACAAAGCGCACGAAACCGACCTCGTCAATGGATGATGATTCTGCAAGCTTCGGTTCTTGAATCAATATGAATGGAACTCTAGATCTTGTCAATTGGGATGGCCAAAATATTGAATCCCTCCCTGCAGTCGGAGAGAGTCAATGTTGGAGCAGATTAAAAACAGTCCAGCAAGAGCGGCCAGCAGAAGGGGATAACTTTCATATTTCAATCAATGCGATAGAAACAAAGTAGCCGTTACAATTCCAAGCAAGGAGGGGTTGGCAGGGCATAAAAAACAGCATGGTCAGCAACGTTAATGACACACCTCCGAGTCGAACGGGGTCAAGCTAGCGCTCCGTCCGTTGGATGCGTAGACGCTCTATTTGTCTTCGAGGAAAGATTTGGCAAGGACGCCCTAGCCCTCCGTCGGGTCCCCGGGGAAATTAGCGGAGATTGGCGTGCCGCCGTCAGAGAGGAGATCTAGAGAAGTTGCGGCGGCGAGTAAAACGTGAAAGTCCGCTTTGACTTCGCTGCGCTTGCAAGTTGGGTGCGGACCCCTCGATGTGAGTCAAGAGTTTACGCGGGACGCCGGAGGCTCTTTGATCGTGGTTGAATCGTGGAGAAGAAGCTGTCGAGGAGATCTTTCATGTCGTTCCCGACATGGGCATTGGGAAGAGGGAAGAAGCTGGTGATTTATGCTGTCGAAAGGATCTCGTTCGCAATGGACATGGGAGTGCATGGGAGAGAAAAGGGACGTAAGCAAGACGTAAGCCACGTGTTGATTGACGCCCAGATAAGCGCCCACGAATCATGACACCCATCGATTTTGACAGCTCGCCCCTTGCTTCCTACACTCATCTCGCGCCATCCACGACGCTCCACGCACCTGCTGCGTCGCCGCATCTCATAATCGGCGGTCCATCCAGCATTCGGGTGCTTCAAGGGCTCATCAGGCGATTTTGGGGCATCAAGGCTCTGGCAACTCGGAGTCGACTCATCGTCCGTCATCCGTCTGCCTCTTTCTGCTACTCTATCCCGTCGCTCACGTCCAGATTCAGAACATACTTCACAAGTGCTCTTTGCGATTCACAACACCGCCACCCAATTGGCGTATAAAGTTCTCAGCGCTAACTTGTTGCTCTCACCATGGCCTCACCGTTCATCTACGTACCCGAGGCGTCGCCCACGCCTCCTCACAATCCATACTACTCGACTCCACAGAATCCAGCCTCCCCATTTCTCCCCCCTTCCCCACTATTCCCCTCCTCGCCATATTTGGGCAGCGCTGCCTCCCCACCTG